AACAGTAAAATGCAGTAAACAAACTCCTAAACAAAAGACTAATCAATTTAAAAAACAACTAATTAACTCCTAAAAATAGGACATTAACAGCAGCCTTGAAACATCAACATTCTCGTCCTAGATCAAGTGCTGCACACTCCTAGCTTCTCCCTGAGAAATTCAAATCGACTAACATGAAATGACTTGGTGAATATATCTGCAATTTGGTTTTCTGAACTGCAGTACATTAGCTTCACTTCTCCAGCCTTCTGCACTTCTCTCAAAAAATAATACTTGATCTTAAAATGCTTTGTTCTTCCATGAAATACTGGATTCTGTGAAATAGCTAGAGCAGCTTGATTATCCACAAATACTTCTATGCCTTCTTTTTGCTCCAAATGCATGTCATCCATCAGCTTCTTCAACCATAATGCTTGGTTTACAGCTGCAGTAGCTGCAATGAACTCAGCTTCTGCAGTTGATTGGGCCACTATTTCCTGCTTCTTTGAACACCAAGAAAAACAAGCTGACCCAAATGTAAAACAATAACCCGAAGTACTTTTCATATCATCCACTGATCCAGCCCAGTCACTGTCAGAATACCCTTGCAACTTAAACGTCTGAATTCTGCAGAATTTGATTCCATATGAAAGAGTACCTTTCAAGTACCTTAACACCCTTTTTGCAGCTACCATATGCAGTTCACTTGGACAATTAAGAAACCCAGACAAGACACTTACGGTAAACATAATGTCTGGCCTAGTTGCAGTGAGATACATAAGGCAGCCAATTAAACTCCTATAAACTCTTTCATCTGCAGATTCCGATTCATCTTTCTTTTGAAACTTTTCCTTTTGACCCATTGGAGTACTTACACTCTTGCACTCCTCCATGTTGAATCTTTTTAGAATCTCCTTCAAATACTTCTTTTGATAGATAAAAATTTCATTTTCAGTTTGTCTAACCTCCATCCCCAAAAAATATGACATCTCACCAAGATAAGTCATTTCAAACGTTTTCATCATTTCCCTTTTGAATGCAGTAATCTGAGAATTATTACTCCTTGTTACCAGCATATCATCCACGTAAAGAGACACCACCACTAAGTCAGATGCTAACTTCTTGACATATAAAGTGAATTCACTAAGACTTTTTATGAAACCCAAACCCATCAAGTGCTCATCCATCTTGCTGTACCATGCTTTAGGAGCTTGCTTCAAACCATAGAGAGCTTTTCTCAGCAAACAAACCTTCTCCTCCTGATCTGGTGTGACAAAGGCTTCTGGCTGCTCAACATAAATCTCCTCTTGCAACTCTCCATTCAAAAAAGCAGATTTCACATCTAACTGATACACTTTCCATCCTTGTTGAGCTGCCAAGGCAAGAATCATTCTAATTGTATCTAGTCTTGCAACCGGAGCAAAGGTTTCTGAGAAATTAACTCCCCAAACCTGTGCATATCCCTTCACCACTAACCTGGCTTTATGCTTATTCACTGAGCCATCAGGATTGAGTTTGGTCCTGAAAACCCATTTTACTCCAATCACTTTCCTGTCCTCAGGTCTTTCTATTAGCTCCCATGTCTGATTTTTTTCTATCATAGCCAACTCATCCTTCATAGCATTCATCCACCTCTGATCACTTTTAGCTTCCTCATAACTTGAAGGTTCCAAAACAGCCACACTACACCTCTGATATATATCAGTCAGAGATCTGGTACCTCTAATTGGATCATCATCTACTAGCTCATCATAATCCAGTGAGACCTCCTTATGCTTTACTTGTGGCTCATCTGTCCAGTCCCACTGCTCATCTTCTAGGAACAGAACATCCCTGCTATTGATCACCTTCTTTGTCTGTGGTTGATAGATCTTGTAGGCTTTTGACACCAGACTATAGCCAATGAAAATTCCAGGTTCAGCTTTTTCTCCCAGCTTGTCTCTCTTAACCTATGGAATGTGAGAAAAACACAGACAACCAAACACTTTCAAATTTTTTAGAAATGGCTTGAAACCAAACCAAGCTTCGAAAGGTGTCTTCTTTTCCAGTACCCTTGTAGACAGTCTATTTAACAAAAAAACAGCTGTGTTCCCAAAATTCTTTTGGTAGATTTTTCTCATGCAGCAGACACCTGGTCATTTCCATAATGGTTCTATTCTTTCTTTCACTAACTCCATTTTGCTGTGGAGAATAAGGAACAGTAAGTTGATGCTCAATTCCAGCTTCCTCACAGAAAGTGTTAAACCTTTGTGAAGTGTATTCTGTTCCATTATCAAATCTGATGACTTGAATTTTGCAGCCACTTTGAGTCTCAACCCATCTCTTAAACTTCAGAAATATCTCAGCAACTTCTGACTTTTGCTTCATAAAATAAATCCAGCACATTCTAGTATAATCATCAATGAAGATAAGAAAACACCTGCTGCCATTTAGTGAAGGAGTCACGTGAGGACCACAAAGATCTGTATGAATTAGTTGTAGCTTCTTTGTAGCTCTCCAGGTGGATTCTTTGAAAGGAAGTCTTGTCTGTTTGCCCAAAAAACAAGCTTTGCAACTTGTGATCTGCTCCTCCAGGATTGGTAACCCAGTTGCCATTTCATTCTTCTGCATGAATAGTAAGCCTTTGTAATGAAAATGCCCCAACCTTTTGTGCCATATTTCTGAATCACTAGCTTGACACTTGAATGCCGCTTGCTCCTTCTCAAGGGGATTTAGAGAAAAACTCTTCTGTTGCATCTTTATTCTGAACAGCTCCTGACCATTTGAGTCAAAGATCAAACACTTTCCTTCTTCAAATATCACTTTAAATCCCTTTTCTACCAACTGCCCCACACTTAGCAAATTCTGATCAATATCAGGCACGTACATCACACCAGAAACCAGCTTAGTTCCAGCATAGCTCTTTATTGCTACAATCCCTTTACCTTTCACTTCTAGATACTCTCCATTTCCAATTCTCACTCTTGACTGCAATGACTTGTCAAGGTCTCTAAATAGCTTTTCATCACTTGTCATGTGGTTTGTGCAACCACTATCAACAAGCCAACTATCACATGGAGCATTAGAGGAGAAACAAGAGGCAACAAATAATTGATCTGCCTCATGCTGGTCTGCAACATGTGCCTCACCTTGCTGCTGATCTCCCTTTTCTTTGCAGAACCTTTCAATGTGTCCAATCCTATGACACTTTCTGCACTTTACATCTGGCCTCTTCCAACATCTGAAGTGTGGGTGATTCTGCTTTCCACAATGCTTACATGAGGAATGCCCGCCCCAATTGTTCTTAGAGTTGATTGCATTGTTCTCTCCTGCAGCAGCTTCTGAACCACTATTGTCATCTCCTTTCTTCCATCTTACATTATGCTGTTCTTTAGCCTGCAAAGTTCCTTCTGTACTTCCTTCAAGCCTCATTAACCTTCTCTGCTCTTGTGCTTGCAGGGCACTTAGCAATTCTGCCAACTTGATTTGAGACAAATCCTTGGTATTCTCCAAAGATGCAATGGTTGCTTCAAACCTTTCGGGCAAGGAGACAAGAACCTTTTGCACTAGCCTATTATCAGAGAGGTCATTTGCAATATTTACCAACTTATTAGAATACTCCTTAATTGTTTCAGACTCCTTCATCTGCAATCTCTCAAATTGTGTGATTAGATTCAGCCCCTTCATGCTTCTAATCCTCTCATCTCCTTTATACTCATCTTTGAGGAAGTCCCAAATAGCTTGAGCTGATTCACAAGCCATAATTCTGCTGAAAATGGCAGGTGAGACAGCAGCATATAAACAAGACTTTGCCTTTGCTTTTCTTGTTATCCTCTCCTTATGAAACTTGATCTGATTGATGGTTGGATTATCAGGAAGGGGAGCAACTTCATAATCTTGTTCTACAGCTTCTCAAAAATCGCAACCCTCTAGATAGGCTTGCATTCTCACTGCCCATGCTTGATAATTTTCTCCATCGAATATTGGTGGAGCCATTGCTGAAAAACCACTCGATCCTCCCTCCATTAATTTCTCAAGTCACTCACAGCCCCTTAAGATCAATAAGGCTCTGATACCAATGTTGATCTTTTATGAGAAAAACAAACATCAGAAACAATATTGTGCAATAGCTTATTTTTATTATGACTAATGAACTTGTTTTAAATACAAAACTGAGCTCATGCGGTTGCCACTAACCAGCTGATTTTGTTGGTCCACAAAATCAGCAACAAACTAACAAAGCAATAACAGTAAAATGCAGTAAACAAACTCCTAAACAAAAGACTAATCAATTTAAAAAACAACTAATTAACTCATAAAAAATAGGACATCAACAGCAGCCTTGAAACACCAACACACTCCCAATTTTGGAGTGTTGGTGTGTATGGGATTGCCGTGATGGCTTTGCAAAGGAAAAAAAAAACTCAACAAACTAGGAAATGGCATTTGGCTTACGACCAATGTCCATAGCATAGGATAAGGCCGCTGAAACAGCTTTGCTTCCTGGCACAATTACATCATCTCCAATTAATAGTGACCCTTGCACAGATATGCACAATGAAGATAGAATTGTGCAAATAGTTTTTCTTCTCTTTTCATGCTATTTTGTTGGCAATAACGATATGGATCATTGTTGGATTGCCTCCTTACCAAAATATTAACTTAATCCGTAAACCATGCAAAACAAAATGCACCATTGTATATGATAGAAAAGGTATATAGGATACATATATCACACATGTATATTTATACACATATATATCAAGTCTCTAGTACTAATACATTAAAATTGATCTTCAATATTATACCATTTTGAATTGACTGGGGAATAGCCAAAAGGGCTTGGGATTGCTATTTTGTTAGTAATAAAGATATGCCTAAAATGGAGTGAGACAGAAGTTGACACTGAGCTAATTACATCTGCACTGTAAGCAACAAAGTATACAAAGTAAGCCTGTTAATAGATATCAAGGAAGAGTTCAAAGTTGTATGCATAGCTAAATTGCTTTAATCAAACCTACCCTTCTTTTAATCACAACCCTTCAGTTTTGTTCCAAAGCCATCGCAGTTCTTTCAACATTCTGCAAGAGCACAGCATATATTTTGCCTCTCACCCTCCTACATGCTTCCAAATCAAAATCCCCCATGCCGGAGCCATCCATCATATCCAACCAGTCATTCACCTTCTTCATTTGACGCATCATATCAGCTACTTCATAATCTGATTTAGGTATGGTTTTGCTTATAACCTCATCTAAGTAGTCCTCAAAATGAGCCAAAAACCATTTTTTACTTTCACGCTGCAAATTACTTACAAGCTGATCAGCAGCACCTAAAGCACGTCCCTCAACCCAATCTGGTGTTGCCAACCCAATGTGGATCTCGTTATTGTTCCTTTGCATCCTAACAAGGCTTGTGCCCTTTGGTTTGGTGCTGGATTTCTTCGTTGTTTTTGTAGCCTGCATGGAAACAGCATTGGTAGAAGAAATAGGACTAAGATCAGACGTCGTAGCCGCTTTGATCCAGGAAGCTGCATTTTTCTTTCTCTCCAATGCCAGTTTTATTGATTCACTGATAGTTCCGGGGCTACTTGGATGACCGTCAATTTCTGTTATTGGCGTAATGCATTTTAGTGACTGAAGAATTAGTATAGACTCACTCATATCTTTTTGAAGGTTGAAGAATTTATCAACTGATGGCTGCCCATTATCTGCCTTGGCTAAATGTTGAAACTTTGAGTATGTGCTGGGAAGAATTAAATAAATCATTAATCAGGTGGCTACTGGCTAGCAATTACTACTTAAATTTCCTATGCATGTTATTATGAAAATTGAAAAATATTATAAATGCACCAATCGTGATTCTTGAAGATGGGTGATAGAAGAGGAAACATAAACAACCAGCATAACATTCTCTAACCACTGATGCAATTCATGCAAGAGAAGAGTAAATCAGTAAACATGACAATATGGGCTACAAGTATAAACCAACTTATTTAGTTGCTCAAAATTGTAAATCCAGATAAAAAATTAATAAATGAATAGATAAATAAGGTCAAGATGTTGATGGTATTCGATGAAGATACTACATCTTAAGCAACCCAATGGCCTGTTGCATAGCTATTCACAAGGATACGTGTGTGCATACCTTAAGCATTTAAGAATTCTCTCAGCAGCAGATGCCTCTTGAAGAATATCCGCAGCAGCAAGCACAGCTGCTTCTTTGAGCCTCAGGACCTCCTGTGATCATAAATGGGCATTTACAAACTATCTATTCTTTTGCATAAAAGGGGGGCTTCAGTTTTATGCATGGACATTAAATCATTGAAGCATGATACCTTGCCATGCTTCTCTAAGATCGAGGGAAGATATGTCCATAAAATCTTTGTTTCTTCCATATTCTTGTCACTAACTACACTGGACATGTAAGCAGGGTCTATTAATTTATCACAATTCTTAACTGGTATGGAGGTCTTGCTCATGTTGGAACTTCTGACTGATTTCGTAGCTGAACCAATATATTTTACTTTCGATTTAGAGTTTGAGTTGTCTTCAAAGCTGTCATAGCTTGCTGAGCGAATTGGAGAAGTCTGTTTACACAGGAAAGACAGCAAGCATAAGCAATCCACCATACTCGATTGTCATGAATGGAAATTAAAAAAGGAAAAGAAAAACATTACTAGTTTTCCCTAGTCCTAAAGGCTGAATGTTTGAAAAAAGGAAAAGATGGAGCATTAGTAATTAAGAAAAGGCTGGCAAGATAGGGGAAGAGATTCACAGCCAAGTTTGGTACTTACACTGGCACTACGACTATTACCAGTTGTTTTTATCACATGTTTGACAACACTTGCATCCAAATTTAAATTTTCTCTGCCTCTCCAACTTCTTCTTTTAGATGATGAAGTGGATATTGTAATATCAAGTAAACTCGATCCACATTCTTGAATCATCTTCTCAGAATTTCCCCTGTGGATTTCTGATGCACTGGAAGAGCGAGGCTTCTTCTGGGGAGCATCATTAGTCGTCTCCTTTCTCCACAAAGAATCAGAGAGATGTAAATCTTGCAAATTATCCGTAGAAACAAGATTTTGGAGTTTTCTAATGCAGGGAAATCGACCTGGGATAGGTTTTATACCTCTAAGCATTGGCACTGGATGTGATGGCTCCAATTTATCAACATATATCAATTGGCCAAGTTGCAGCTTATTACAAAGAACCATGTTATCTTGTTCACGTGGAAGAGACACGTACATGGCATGCGTGGAATCTGAAACCTTCAAGTAAAATCCCTGCTTGGGCCAAAGATCACCCTCTGCGGATGCCGGAATAATGCTTTGAATTTGTAACAGAGAAGGCCTTTGATCTTGCATCATCTTCTTGCCCCCACCCATTTCTCGAAAAAGCTTCTCGAGGACCCCACAAGTCAAATGCTCCATCTTTTATCAAAAATGCTAATTAAGAATGGATTGTCGTCTTAATATATGGTGATGAAAGATCAAAGAGAAAGAGATGGAAATCTTTATTGGATTTCTTTACAAATTGAATTGAGATAAGTGAACATAAAGAACGTGAAATTGTTCTTGAGGATGATCTGAGGCTTCGAAATTATCTACAAACAAACTACAAAGTCACCCCAGAGGCCAGAGGGTGGAACCAGAAAACTGAAGCTAGTTAAAAGTTAGAACCGTTTTTTTTTTTCTTCACTTTTTTGGGTCACGAATTAAAGGGGTTTGTTCAACAAACAATCGATCATGAGGATCGGGATAGCAAAACGCAGAAATATACTGGGCTAACGAAGCCCATGGGCCCAAAAAAGAAGGCCAAGGATTTTGTATGACAAAAAATAATTCCCAAAGACTGAAAAAACTGCATTATTAGGAAATGGATGATGGGAAAAAGAATTTAGCCATGTCAAAAAATCACAATTATAAAAATGTAAATCAATGATTATGATTTTATAATTATCTATTTTAATATTTTTCTTTTTTTTTATTATTATTAACCCAGTTTTGTACGATTATAATTTTTCACATAACCATATGTTTATGTCATATTTCTTTTTCACTCGAGAGAATCAAATTTTTTATTATTATCTTCTATTAATAATGCCAAAAATCTGATTTGATATTTGTCAGTGGTGCTTATTGGACCCACCAGCCCGAACTAACATGTATCAACCTTCACCAAATCTTTTTTCCTTTTTAAAGAATTTTATTTATTAATGTATTATACAAAAAATTTAATTCCATGATTCCATCTGCCAGTCATACATAAATTATTATTTTTTTCTCAATTATTAAATAAACACAACATTATTTTGAAACTTAATTTTATCTTTTTATATAATAACTTTATAACTGTCACCATTTTGAGTAATAAAATATTATTAGTACTCGTCAAAGTCAGGTAACACTAATTCAATGATATTATTAAAAAATGTTATATTAATTCAATAATTTCAAGTTACATAAAGTTAGATGAAAATTTTAATTTTTTTTTAAAAAGGAAAAAAAAAATTATGTCTATTATAACATTTTAAGGATTTCATTTTTGTTATGGTACTTTAATAACATTATAACATTTTACTGAGCATTATAATGAAAAATAGAGTACTTTAATAACATTAAATAAAATGTTATAACAGAGAGTACTTTGAGAGAGTACTCTATTTTAAAAATATTAAAGTATTTGACTGAGCATGTGATAATGTTTTAAAAATGACAAATTGATATAAACGAAAAATAAAAAAAAATGTGGATTCACATGCATCGGCTAGTATCTTGATAAAAGTTATGTACTAGAAAACTTTGAGACAGTATTTGACTGAGCATGTTATTGAGTGTAAAATCGAATCGAAATAGCATCAGTAACTACTCTGCAGATAACATTCAGAACCTGAGATTCGTGGGTGATGATTTCAATTAACCTCCTTTCCTCCAAAAAAAAAGCGAGATGTGTGGAGAATGGAGATAATAGAGAATGATTCACACATGTGGGGTGGGGTGGGGGACATCTTGATTCTTGACCATTTCCTTCCTTATACAGAGATGTTTCAACTGCTCCCCAATCTGCTATAATTGCCAAACTCAAAATACCAACTAAAATAAAACCATCTCTTACAAGACATGATGGAACAAATACTAAAGCCTAAAGCACTCATTTTCCCCCTCCTCCTCCTCCTCCTCCTCATCTTCTTCAACCATACTTGGCAAGTCCATTCCCGAAACCTACCAAGCTCTCCTTCACCTTCACCTGCACCAGCACCTGTGCGTGCGTTCATTCTATTTATTTATTTTACCCTTTTAATTTTTATTATTATTATTATTATTTTATTTTGGCTTAAATCCAATGAATGAATGGTCCTTCTAAATTTCAAAAACCATTTTCAGGAAAGTATTGGCCCTGCAACATATGAAGGAAGGAAAGAAAATCCAAATCCAAGGTGGGGGTCATTTCCAGCTACATGTCATTCAAAGTGCAACCAATGCAGGCCTTGTGTGCCAGTTGAGGTCTCAATCAGAACAGTGGCAGCGGAAGAGAATCAGTACTATCCCATAGCTTGGAAGTGTATGTGCCAGAGCAACATATTTTCACCTTAGTTTTACAATTCTGGCTAGTCACTTGAGTTTGTATTACCAAGTTTAATCCCTAATCCAGTTTTCCTTCAAGAAACGTTGATAATAAATGTAAATTCACAACTGATACGATCACGGATCCTAGACTTGATCTAAGCCAAAAGGTTTTCTAGTAATGCATAAAAAACCAAACATTTCTAACTGAAACAGAGACAACAAATAATTTGGGACAGGACGTAGGCACTGAGTTCCTCTAACATGAAGCATGGCAGGGAATTTTATCATTTAAGACATTTTTGGGTGTGTTTCTTTTTGGCGGCTGTTAGTTTGGGTTAGGAGAAGACAAAATTATAGTCATTCTATGACATTTATGTGGCTTATCGTGATGCTGCAGCCAAAGCCAAACTATAAATATGCACATTAATTAATATTTGTTAAGAATAGTCAACCTCTTGGTTTTTGTTATAAGGAATACAATTCAGATATTATGAGCCGGCCCAAGAAAATTCAACTATACTTTCGCGTCTGGATATAATTTTATAAATTTTGATAGTGTTTCGCCAGTTTAATATCCATCAGCAAACATAGATACAAAATTTAATATGAGATTATCTATTTCCTTCTTCTAACAATTATACTAAAATTAATGCTATTCAATACTATAATAAAGTCAATAACTGAATAAACCATGATCCCCTCATTTCAAAATTGATCTACTGAGTACGACTGTTATGGAATGGAAAAAAATTAAAATATTTACTATTTTAATAAATAATTACAAAAATATAACTATTTTAACATAATTTATTGGTTTATGTGGTCGTGACCCCTCAGCTCATTCCTGCTTAGAAAAGAAGTGACTCATCTTGTATTGACACGTGACATCAAAAAAGTCAACAAATTGATTGTAAAACTTCAAAAAGTCATAATTTTTGACTTGGGTGTTTGAATTAGGTAAAAAAAAAAACTATTTCAGATAATTTTTTGAAATCTACGCAATGACATCTCATTGAGGGGGATTTGATCAAAATAATTTCAAAAATTTGGGATATTTTACCGTAAAACTTCGAAATGGCGTAACTTTTGATTCAGGTGTCCAAATCAAGTGCTTTTTATTTAATTTCAAGTAACTTTTAGAGAGCTACGCGTTGACAAATACCCAAAGGGAATTTTGCCAAAAAAAATTCTCAAAAAACACTTCTTTGTGCCCCGTTTGGTAATTTTTATCTGTGTGAATGATTTTATTAAAAATTTTACTTTCAAATACTAACAAATAATCCTCTGAAAATTTGTCAGTGCTTAAATCTCAAAAATTTATGTGAAATTAAAAAAAAAATCACTTATTTTGAACTCCTGACCAAAACTTTTGGCCCTCTTAAGTTTTATGATAAATTTGAGCTCATATAATCAATAATATCATCAAGTCAACAGTCAAACACGGACATGTTAATATTTGTTTTAAAAATGGGTCAAAAAGTCAAATAAACATGCGTTGTCCTTTTTTTGGAAAATTTTGAGAGATAAATGCTGTGGTGGTATTATTATTGCAAATTGAAAAAAAAATTGAATTTTGGTTTTGACAAAATCCCCTTAAATGAGATATCGTTGCGTGGAACTCAACAAATTATATGGAATAATTTTTTTTTACTTAACTCAGATACTTGAGTCAAAAATTATAGACTTATGAAGTTTTACAATTAAACTGTTGAGTTTTTTTATGGCACGTGTCAACACTGGATATGTCACCTTTTTTCTAGGCATGAATGCAGTGGTGGAGCCGGCCCAAAAATTTAGGTGGTGCCAAAAAATTTGACATATTAAATTATCAAAATATTTATTGTAATTACACAAATTTATCAGGAAAAAAATTTATTATGAATTCTAACATAGTTATCTAAATTATGTACTAAATAATGACGCATAATATTGAAAATTCAAATGAACAATTGTCGTTGACTAAATATCAAAGCAAATATATAAAAATGCAGTAACTTTTTCGGTAAACATTTCAAACATAAGAATTTCACTTTCCTCCCACAACATAATAAGTAATAAACCAAATATTATTCTAAGAATATGAAAACACACAAATATAATAATTATATGTATAATAAGCATTGCCCTTCGTCTCCTCTTTCATTATCTCTATTCCTTAAAGTTTCAATATCTCACGTTAGAGAACATTGCCCTTGTTTGCAACAGCTATAAGCATGATGGAAAGTTCTCACATTTGAAAATTAGGTTTTTGACTATTCTTTGTGTGTGCAATAACCCAAAACAAAATAGTTCAATGGACCTTCATATTCCATAATTATAGTCCTATTATTCATTTGGTTTCATGATTGTTACTTTCAAGGGTTAAGTGTTTGTCCTTTTAAATGACACAAATTGTATCATTTTAGTTTTTAACACTATGTTTTACCGGTAAGATATAGTTATAACATGAAAAAAAAAATCTCCATGTCAGCTGAAGTGACTGAGGAAATAGAAAAAAAGAAGTAATTTTTCATATTATAACTATGTTTTACCGGTAAGATATAGTGTCAAAAATTAAAAGGATACAACCTTGTGTCCTTTAAAAGGACAAACCTTTTTTCCTACTTTTAAATGAGTTTATTTGGTTTAGTTGGGCCCAAATTTTGAAATAAGTCAACTATTCATTTTTGTGATTAAGTTTAGAAGTCTTTCTTTTTTTAAATAATAGGAGTAAGAATAACTAACATAAATGATTAGAATAAAGTAGAAAAAAAAAATATACAGGATAAAAAATAAAAAATAAAAGGTAAAACACAAAAATAATCATACTATACATCCTTATTATTTGTTTGCATTTACATGATTTGTTGTTATTTTGAATTGAG